GCCGCCATAGAAGCGGTACAAAGGACGATGGTCAAAGATCCAATAACTGGTAAGAAAGTGCCAAGAGAAGTCGCCATTGAACGTGGCATCATTCCAATGGACGATAACGCAACTTCACCAATTATTGAATCTGTGAGTGGTACGTCTGATGAAAATGAAAAAGTTATTGTGAAACATGTATACGATGAACCTGGAAAAGTTCATGTATCGAAAGAGGACGTTACAAATATAACTTTGATTGATTTGTCGAAATCCGCCAATGACGTTACGGATGGCGAGAGTTTAGGCACGAAGACCAGAGCGCGAGTGACGGTCGAGCCGAGGTATCAAGTTACGATTGGTAAAGCGAAAACACTATCACAAAGTCCGGAACAAGAAGCGAAACCTATCGTTCTGCAGAAGATGCGAAAGAGGATAGTAAACGTCAAGGAGGCGTTGCAAAGTGGTTTCATCGACATGGAAACAGCAGATACCTTCGCTAAGAAAATGTGTAATGAGAAAGGGGATCCGATCACTCTTTCTGAAGCAATCCGTGACAATCGAATAGACGCCAATCAAGGTCAGATCGTGGATCCACAAAGGGGCGATGTGCTTAGTATCAAGCAGGCTATTGATCGTGGAATCCTTGATTCAGAGAGCGCGCATATATTAGTACCTTTGGCGAAAAGCTTGTCCGTTCCCAGTTTGTATACGCAAGGTTTGCTAGATCCTGTAGAGGGTAAAATCGTTCATCCAGAAACAGGCGTGCATCTCACTCTCAACGAGGCTATAGTATGCGAGATAGTAGATCCTCTATCTAACTTGATGTTCACTGTTGATGGCCATACGGAAACGTTGCAGTCCGCCATTGCGAACGATACTGTCGATGCAGAGAGATTGTTGGTCAAAACGCAGAGCGGTAGCGTAGATCTGGTGAATGCGATAGAGAACAAAGTACTTGAGTTAAAGGGACCGACTAAATCTTCCAACATACCGCCGGCGGGAATGACGTTCCCCGTTGCATTAAAACGTGGATTGATAGACATCAGCAAGAAAGAAATACGTCACCCAATTACCGGAGAGCATTTACCACTGGAGGACGCTATAAAGACAGATTTTATCATGGCATTACCATATCCAGTGACTCCTGATAGTATCGAAATAACGAAGGCTTTAGAATCAGGATTGATTGACAGGGACAAGGCTACATTCTTTCATCCTACTACGAGAACTCCGATTCCAATTGCCGAAGCTGTCGAGTCTGGTCTACTCATCATCAAATCGCCTCGTGATGAAAACACAGCTGCCATTACTGAAACAGTTACATCGTACCACACTATTACGACCAAGACTGTTGAGCTTTTGCCAGGTTATGCGCTGAAGAACCCAACGGAAGTACAAGATATTAATACCAATAATGTCATTACTATTGAAGAGGCACGACAAAGAGGTATCATTAAGGATGTATCTGAAACTAAACAGGAATTCACGACGAAAGATATCAAGATGTCCTTTAATCACGCAGTGGAAAAAGGATTCGTAGATATGGAAAAGGGAATTTATACTGATCCTTGCACCGGTATCATAATGCCTATTGCTAAAGCCGTTGAGGAAGGAATCCTCGATACTTCATCTAGTAAGAGTAAATCCGTAACACCCAGAAAATCTCCCAATAACAGTTTGACTGTGTTAGAAGCGGTCGAGCAAATTTACGATGAAAAAACTGAGACATTTAAAGATCCCGAGACGAACGAATCTTACAATTTGACAGAAGCAATGAAAGTGGGGCTAATCGAATCCGACTCCGTACTTTATAATGTGAAAACTAAAGAATCTATCACTACCAAAGAGGCACTCGAGAAAGGTTTGCTCGATCCTGCCACTGGAAAAATGAAGATTGCGCGAGATCAGAAGGATCATTCGATTAGCATAGCGGAAGCTGCGAAAATGGGTCTCTTGGCAGTCGTAGCCGCACCAGTCTTGGCTGGAAAAGCAGTTGTTGATGCAATTTCAAGTCACAAATCTAAAGAGTCGAAGCCGAGTGCATCCGTGACAAAAGTATCTGTTTCAGCGAAGAAAGAATCAAGTCCATCTGCAAAAATGATTTCAAGTCAAATTCAAATTACCCAGAAATCTCATGTTGATTCTCAAAGTGAAGATAAAATGTTGAGCTTGATGGAAACGCAGAAACCATTTTCAGATGCAAGAATTATAGAAGAGATCCAAACTACAGAGATAGAAATGGAAGACGATAGCCAATTGAGAAGAATCACGGACGAAGAAATGCCAAGACCCATTTCAATAATCATTACGAGAGAATTAACGCCTCAGGTTCTTGCGGAACTTGGAGTATTTGATCCTGTAAGAGAAAAATTCTTGGATCCGGAAACTGGTACCATCTCTTCCTTCAACGATCTAGTATTGAACCTAAAAGTCTTCGATCCAGACCGAGTACTCGTCAAGGATCTATCATCCAAGACGGATTTGTACGTGAAACTACGCGAGGCAATCAGCCGACCTCTCGTAGACAGAAACGTCGCTTACATGGTCGATCCAAAGACCGGTAAAAAGATACCTTTCTTCGAGGCGGTACGCTTGGGATGGATCAAGGAGGAATCGGAAGACGAAACAGATACAGAACAGTTTGCAGAACCGCAGGCTTTAGACTTGCAAGAAGCTATCGATATTGGCGTGTGCAATCCCATCACAGGAACAATTCAAGATCCAAAAACGGGACAAGTGTTGTCCATGAA